AACGCCCAAAGAGTCATTAATTTCCAGAATACATTCATGAATGAAAAATCGAGGAATTATTTGTGCCTGAATGGTAGGATGGATGGCCACGGCCTCGATTTAAATAGCTAAGTAAATAACTAAGTAAAGGAACTGCTACGCTCCTTATTGATGGATTTCCTAACGCACACACCTCAATCTCGTACACAAATTTTAATAAAAAATTCACCTTTTAAACATTTAAATTCTAAAAACGCCCAAAATTCGACAGTATGAAAATGTTATATCTAAGTTATAACGCAACGGGGTTCTTGAGCTTCCCCTCCTCGCCCTATTCATATATTCTTTGCGGCAAGAAGGTTATTAACTTAAGAGGATTTTAAGTTTATCTGTGCTCCCCTATCCCCCCCCACGACCTACGTGCCTGCCCCCGCAAGATAATTGCGTTCATCTCCCCACGGCAGCGCGGCGCCAGCCCCGCGACCTCGCAGCGCCGCTTCTGGCTGCACGCCGCTCCCTGCACGCCATCAGGTCACCACGCGCTGCCCTACGTGCCCGTCTCGCGTGTAACGCTGCGATGCTGTCACGTGTTACGTGTAATGCTGCGATGCTGTCACGTGTTACGTGTAACGCTGCGATGCTGTCACGTGTTACGTGTAACGCTGCGATGCTGTCACGTGTTAATGCGCACGCAGCAGGCTATACGAGTCAATCATTTTATTCCTCAATAAGCTCTGATCATTTGGGCACTAAAGAATAGATAAATATCACTGAAAAATTGCTGTTGATCCTAAATTGCTGGACAAAGTATATGGCATGTATGATTCATAATAGGTTTGCAGCAGATTTGGGTGTTTTTGAAAAAGTTCATTGCAATAGTACTACATCAAAAACTGAATTCTGGCGACAGAGTTTCGGGACAAATATAAGCTTGCCAATCTACAGCTCATGAATGTATATGAGTTTTGAATAACTTTAACATTTGCGCAACTCTCACAAATATACGGCATGTAACTAATACATACAGCATGCAACTCTTTTAAATTGTACGTGAATCTGTGAAAAATACGTTGTAAAACTCATATGAATTTAGCGTGCTTATCTCATAAATACGGCATGCAACTTTGAAGAATAAGTCATGAAACTCACTTAAATTCGGCAGTGAATTCTGATAAATGCATCATGACCCTCACATAAATACGATGTAATGCTCTCAAACTACGTCATGATACTGATATGAATTCGGCGGGCAACTCTCGTGAATAAGTCGCAATACTCGTATAAATTCAGCGTGCAACTCTCTTGAATAAGTCGTAATACTCGTATAAATTCAGCGTGCAACTCTCTTGAATAAATCGTAATACTCGTATAAATTCAGCGTGCAACTCTCTTGAATAAATCGTAATATCAAGGATATAATTTTTCGACAACATGTTTTGGAAATTTGGGTTTATTATTAAATTGAAGTAAAAATGCAGTATTTTGGCTTGTATCACTGGCACACTCGGCAAACTACGAGTCATGCCACGCGCTGGCCTACGAGCCTGTCTCGCGTGTAACGCTGCGATGCTGTCACGTGCTCAGACACACGTAGCAATTCGGTGAAAAACTCACATGAATAAGTTGTAATACTCATATAAATTCGGCGTGCAACTCTCGTGAATAAGTTGTAATACTCATATAAATTCGGCGTGCAACTCTCGTGAATAAGTCATAATACTCTTATAAATTCGGCGTGCAACTCTCGTGAATAAGTCATAATACTCATATAAATTCGGCGTGCAACTCTCGTGAATAAGTCATAATACTCTTATAAATTCGGCGTGCAACTCTCGTGAATAAGTCATAATACTCATATAAATTCGGCGTGCAACTCTCATGAATAAGTCATAATACTCTTATAAATTCGGCGTGTAACTCTCGTGAATAAGTCATAATACTCTTATAAATTCGGTGTGCAACTCTCGCGAATAAGTCATAATACTCATATAAATTCAGCGTGCAACTCTCGTGAATAAGTCATAATACTCATATAAATTCGGTGTGCAACTCTCTTAGGTACGGAGTGACGCTCACTTGAGTGCGACATTAAGCTCTAATAAATACGTTGTTAATGGCTTGGGTTTGTGTAATTTAGATTAACTAGATACGTTATAGTAAGTGTTGCAGTGTGTCCAAAACTGTGGGTCATTGCATATCCCGGGTATGCACTAAGCTTACCATATACAGACTTGAAGCTTAAATTTACTAAAATCCTATATTTCCAAATCCCGAAGACAATCACTGAGAATATGACCATATGTATTTGCAAGGAACGTGGAGCAGCGTCGCTGTCAATGCGACCGAACACCTCGCTCTTGTGGAGCGATTATCGGCTCAGACTCCATGGGATAATCTCCACCTTGGACGATTATCAGATCACGAGTCCGAGTGGATCGCAAAATATGGCGCTCATCTCATATGACAAACGCTGCAGCAAAACAGCACTCTAAATCCGATAAGTCAATCAACAATGAGCCATGTCTTGCAACCATATCGCTATAATGTAAAACTTGCACAGTGAATATAAAGTGTAGAGGGATGATGCATATTTGAATTCAGAAGATATTCGCGAAAAGATCAATATGTTCAGAGAGCAGACAAAATCCAAGTGAAAATGTGTGAATTACAACTAAAAATATGATATTGATTTGTATTAATTTCAAAGAAACTCAAGTGAACTTGAGCAAATCTAGAAATCACGGGAAAAAAACACACTAAATATTACTAAGAAATTTTCCGAAACATATCCTGAAGTTTACGTTACTAACAGAATTGCGCAAAAAGTTTATTAGAAATAAGTCCGCTTCCCAGTCAAGAAGTACCTCATCATAGGACCAGCTAGAATAACTCAGCGAATGACACTCTGCGAGGAAGTAATTCTCACCACAAGAGCTCCATAGTTGTCGTGTGACACGATATACCGTGAGCCATAGTTGTCGTGTAACACGATATACCGTGCGCCATGCGCTGCACTTCAGACGGCAGCTCCTGCGCGCCTCACTTGACGCGCACACACAGAATGCGTCTTCGTTTGCAGTAGCGGCCGACACAGAGAGCGTAAAACAAACACATGTCTTCTTTGTTGTAGCTCCTTATTTATGCGAAGAGACGCATGGCTAACCTGACGATAATGTGCTGCATTACATCACATAACCGCAGTCAAACGAACCGTTTTGCAGCATACACGTAGAAATTTGAGGAGGCATTCGAGAATCACAAAGTCATAGCAGCCATTGCACCTGAAAACTGGCACGGTAAAGTCAATAAGAACTTTTATATCAGTCAACTCCCCAATTCCGTTGAATGAGAATAATATTTTACCAACACTTTTACTATGATGGCGCAGATGTGGTTCAACGAGAGCAAACACCTTTATGGTGCTGGGAACAATCCTCGTGCTGACAGCCCTGCAGTGATGACTATCACCGCGGAGTCGACACAATTGCGCTCGTTTCTGGCGCCCCACAAAAACATCGGTCACGAAAAAATGTCACCCTTGAAAGAGCGGAAGGGCGGAGAGCTTTAATGCGAGCCATCAGGCTGCGCGCTTCGTTTAACTTTAATAAGAAAATTCCTACACAAGAGCACTTAAACGTGCATTCAATTTGTTACGCGCGTTAGATATTGGAATTAAGATGAGGAAACAATCAGCAGTTCTGTTGTTGCAATGAGTTTTCTAACTAAAATCTTAATTAACTTTAGGAAATTCAACGTGTACATCAGCTCCCACCACAATAATCGTAACAGGTGCCACAAGCCTTGTTTTTTCCTCAGGATAATCACGTCTTTGGCGCCAAGCCTCACGACCACAGAACCTTCGCTCGCAAAAGGTGAAACCCATACAAGCAAGCGTTGAGATCAATAGCAAATCTCCAATTGCATCGCTACAAGCGAGTATCCTTCCCAAGTCTCGTCGTTCGGTCCCAAGTAAATTCCATTTGTCCTCTTCAGTTTTATCCTAATTTTGTCGACAAACTCCCTGCATGTTTACTTTTAAAAGTTATGCGCAAAGCTTGTGATCAGCCTTTACTCGCCTCTTCGGCCGATCAAAAAATGTGTCGGCAACTTCTAAACAATAGTACTGCCAGGAATTAGAAAATAGTGATACAGATCATAGAACGATAACAAATTCGATATCGTGATACTCATCATCGAACGAAAACCACTATACCCATTTCAACTGTGGTGAGGTTAGGTACTTTTATTGCGGTACTTATAAAACCGGGACTTATATTGCGAAAATCCAAATAATGAATAGGTTTCAAAACTTTTGAGCACTTTTTGTTAACGTCATAACTTTAGAGTAATCTTTCTGTGCAGCACTCAACCTGCCACTAAAATATTTATATAATGTGTTCACCGTCGTCCACATTAAAGATCTTCCCCGCCGAAGAAGGCAATTTGATTTTAACCTCATCAAAAAATATCCACAAGACACGATCTTTTGTGCAAGCGTGACGACGCTGATTGACGCTTGTTCGTGCATATGCGTTCTAACTTCACGTATAAACGCACCAAGAATTAGCGGGACGCGCTCTGCACGGCTGGTGGTGCGGGACGCGCTCTGCACGGCCGGTGGTGCGGGACGCGCTCTGCACGGCCGGTGATGTGGGACGCGCGACGCCTGCATCGTCAAATTCCTACTTCTATGCGCTCCACCAACTTGACACTTGTATCATGTATCATTACAGAAAACTTCCCACTGAATTTTATGAGACAATGAAATGAATTGTGAATCAGTGTGTGAATGTGGGGAAACTATATAACAGTGGGAGATGAACGCTCTTGATGATCCATAAAAGTTTATGATGCTTGGGTTTGCTGAAACGCTTACCGTACTACAGAAGTTTGAACTAAAATTAATATATATGAAGATGCAGCGGAGGCAATACAGTAGTGGGACCTTGTGGACGGCATTTGTCAGAAACACGTTAAGAATTAATTAATATTTTGGTATTTTCTATGACCTCGTTACTCACCGAAGTCCGCCTCACAGAAGTGCTGCTGGGGGTGACGTAGGGGGCACGTGCAGCCATCGCTGTGTTGCACCATCATTGCCACCATCACCACAGCCGTCATCACCACCACGCATCGCATCTTGGGTCTGCACAAGCATCACCATCACAAGAGTCTTCATGAAGTGTTTTTTTAATTTTAAGTAATTTCGTGTGGAATAAATAATACGGCTCGTTGTTGCTAGAAAAATTATAAAAGACTCGGTAAGCGTTTATATGTACTACCGATGGAACGCAGTTGAAATATGGTACCTAGTTCATTGCAGTCATCAGAGATGACAATGCAATGCGAAAAAATTCTCAAATCTCTCGCGTTCTGACCAAAATCCTGTGAAATGAAGAAAAAGTGACAAACAATTTCAAAGAACCTGCATTTAAATCCCGCTCAGAAATTTGAAGAGAGTGTGAACTTCTGAGTTTGAAGTTCATTTCATTTAAATAAACTCGTAGAATGACCTAAAGACGATTCGAGACGCCTTACCAATCCAGCCATAAAATTTAATTCAAGCAATAACAAGTAGCCTGTGGGCACTGTAGAAATATCACTGTGCAAGAAATATACATTCACAAAATTATATATTAACAAAATTTCGATTTACCGATATACCGTATTCACAAAATTTCGATGCTAAGCTGGAAAAAACACACTATTTCTGTACTAAGTTACACGTTCACCACTGAACTTCGGACAAGAAATCCCATGACATTAATGCTTCTTTCAAGAACTATAAAAAGTAACAAGGGACAAATCGGCTGGAGTAAAGACGCTCGTTTCACTCGTTGACCAGCGTTCGAAGTTGTGCAACATATTTGCCCCCTACAGCGCTGGACCACCGACCAAGCGAAGTAGGTGTCGCGCAATGCACATGCGCTCAACTCTTAACTTTGATGTCTCCGTCTCATCCCAACAAAGAATCTTGGCCACATACCGGCATCCCACGAGTTAAAAATTGTTGATCACCCAAACTCCGCAAAGCGCGTTAACCCGGGTGCGGTGCCGAGAATGCAGCCGTCGTCGGATAATCCGAATGAAAAACCAACTCCTGAGTTCTGTTTTGTGTAACGTCTTGAATATTTGTGGCATTTACAGCTGATGTTTAGGGACATAGATAAGATAATTAGACGACGAATGATAACTTGTGCATCTGCATTGAATTGTGAACGAACAACACTCCCTAGATTGTTGTGGACGACGTAGATTAATTGCACGATAGTGGGCAGTATCGCTACAGATGTTACTGCGGTGTAGACTAACTGCATGATAGTGGGCAGTATCGCTACAGGTGTTACTGCGGTGTAGACTAACTGCACGATAGTGGGCAGTGTCGCTACAGATGTTACTGTGTTGACATCCCAGGCGTGTTGAGTAGGATGATCCACGTAATGTTAATTGCCTGCCCTACATATGACTAGACATATTATCATGGTATCCATCCTACAAATGACTAGACATATTATCATGGTATCCATCCAAGTGCACCGATTAAACATCTGCAATATCACGGTCTGGTAGACAGGGAATAGCATGCATTTCACTCATTAAGTGAAACATTTCAGTTTTTAGATGGAAAGAGCACAGAAATTTTTCATTGGTTACATATTTCACACTTACAAACTTATAATGGATTGAAATTTATAATAATTCTTATTCCAGTTAACGATTAAGAAGCTCAATAGATAAGTGGGCGCAAGGTTGAAACACGCGCAAATTGAAATTCATGGCTGATTCGGAAAACAACGTTAATTTATTACCACAGTAGACAAGGAAACTCAAAATCTGCAAAAGGACTAGAACGGTTAGTGTGAGCGAAAAAATATTCCGTCTTATCTTAACCCTCTACCGCCTTATACACGAGTAACCGGAGCAATATTGTCACAAGCCTACTTCCCAAAAAGGAAACGTTCTTGTGAGCGCAAAATGACTTGCACTGATGGTTGCCGCCGCGTACAACTTTAAATGTTCTCTGTTAAGTACAAACATTCTCAGGTTGCTACACTCATGGGTTTACGTATAATTTAGGTTGGAAGTTATGTTCCCGGAGAGTGACATACGGCGGTAGAGGGTTAAAATATAGAAAATTTCAGAGGCTCAAAAAAAAAAACAAGATAATATCTAAGGCTTTGGCCTCCACTCACCTCACTTCTGCCAGTTGGTTAAGAGAAATTTGTCTTGCATTCAGTTATTGCAGTAAGTCACCCGACTTCTCCTCGGAGATATTTGAATCGTATTTATTTATTGCAATAAGTTATTCCACTTCTCAGAAAATTTTACGTCGCATTCAGTTATCTTTGTAACTCACTCCAATTCTCCTTGGTCACTCAATTTAAAGCTAAAAACGTCATTCTCACGTTCAAATTTTCATTAAACATAATTGAGTAATCTAGCTTTTGTGATCTCGCCTGAACTAGAAAGTCCAATCCATGTTTGGAGTCAGTGTTCAGCACCCGAATATCCAGCAGTAAGCTCAGCAATGATTGCGAGCGCCTCAGCAGTACCGGTAAATCATTCGTTAAAAGGAAGTCAGCCCGAGGCTGGTCGCGTTCCTATCCTCCACGTTAATACCAAGTAAGACATGGTCACTCTATTAGCCAGAGCCAGGCACTTAAATGAATAAACACTTCCTCCTGTGATTTTCCTGGACGTCTAGTTTTTATGAGTGTCTTTCCTGAATATTAAAGCGACCTGAATTCTGAAACGTGGCTGGTAGTTAGTTTTTATGAATGGAATTTTCAACATAGTCGGAAAATGGTCGAATATGGTTAAATCTTGTACACTGCGTCGGAAAAATGCCTGGGAATAATATTTAGTTATTCGTGGTACATTCACGAGAGATAAAAAAAAGATTAAAAAATTTAAAGATTTTCAACTTTGTAAGGAAATTTATTCATAAAAAAGTTCAAGTTTCATTAAAATTACTGTAATCTAATTTCAAACTTTCAATGACGGGATTCGGAACGATGGGAAATCGAATAACATGATTCTCTTCTAAATTTATAGTTATGATAAAAGTGAATCTCAAATAAGCCTTTTATATTGCATATATTAAACAGTAGCAGGTTAGCCCGGAGTTGGTCGGAAGATAGCTTCTGTATTCTAATTAATAGCGACTCCTTCAAGACAAACCTTTTACATTAAAGATGGGACCACCATATTCTACTCGCCCTTTTTTCAAGTTTTGCTACTATAAAAATATGAAAAAACTATTTGCGTCTTTCAAATTACATTTATTATTAGCGATTGAATAATCCAGTTTCAATTTTTGATCCACTCCTATCCTAATATTTTCTCCAATCCTTTCCTATTCTCACGCTAGGAATGAAATTCAATGTTTAGTTAAAATCCTGACAAGATTAGTATCCTGGATATGGTACGCGACCAAACAATCCCCATTCTATTTGTGGCGACAGGGTTCAAACACGCAAATAAACAAACGAGCCCACAAACGTTGACAAATACGAGTATAGAAAAGATTTGTGGATTTTTTTGGTTGTTTGCGAATTCCTGTTTAAGTTTACAACTTGCACCCCGTCAAAAATACTGAACGTTTCGCAATTGCATTGATTTAGATTTATATATAGTCCGATTAGGTCGGGAACTTGGGAGCGCCACGAGACATTGAAGACGAAGAAAGAATGCATGAAATTGAAATCAAAATTCTAATTCATTTGGATGTATACGTATAAATCATGATTAAGAAATTCATTTGCTTCGATTTTACACGCTGGTGTTTCATTCAAAATAAGATGCGAAATTATTGGTAAAGGGATTTGTGTAAACTACTGGATTTAAGAGAACTGTATTCTCAAATATCGTCGATTATTAGCTGTCCCGAAAATTGCCGGGTTGAGCTATTGAAGTTTTATAAATTGAATACGAGATCAAAATAATAAAGTGTAAAAAGGAGAAGAGAAATTTTCGAGGAAAATAACTTGTGAGATTTATATAATTCCATTTTCATATTGAATGAAATTAAAAGGTAGAGTAGAATATATTATGAAAATATTCAAAATGCTTGGGAAGAGCGTGCAAAATGAGGGTGCGGATACATGACAGAAGCGAGCGCATTATTACTAGCGGAATTTTTCGGATTGAGTTCAAATATTTTTCCGTATAAAAAGAGTAATAATTGCAAAAACTTGGAAATGCAGACAGCGGGACGTATGTCGACACATAGCTGTGGTCGAAGCATTCACTTCGGAATTCGGCTGGCATTATCGAGTAAGATGGACTTGACGACAATAGTACTGGAATTGCTATTCATTTCTGCTAAAATTGCACTTGTTTAAGTTTGAGAAATGAAAGGGCTAACTGATTTTCCTGACTTTCTTTGCACAGTTGCCATGCCTGTTTGGAGAAAACTTAGTTTATAGATTATTTATTCCCTTGTCATGACTAGCATTAAAGCTGTGTTCATGTTAGTAGCGTCACTAGCGTGAGCTCGAGTGAGTAGTACCTTCGGTGTGGCAAAATTACCTACCTATCGTCGGCGTCAGATTCTAATCCTAAAATTTGTGAGATTATCTTCCTTCTCTGTTCAGAGCCACGTATGCAGAGCCATGGGTCTGGACAATAGAGATCTGACTCATGACCTCCTACTTTATCTGGAAAATCAAGATCGCAGTGCAAGACTGTGCAAGTGTGCAAGTGTGTATGATAGGCGAGTAGCCTGCAGCCTTGGTTAGGTGTTGTGCTCGACAGGCTCATTTCAGCTACTGATGCTGAAATAACGAGTGCTAATTGGTCTTTTGTGCGTTGCATCTTGGATGGTCTGTGTTTTCTGGTTACACTGCAACACTTCCATTCATGGACTCAAGTAGCCTTACTTACTTCTTATCCTTACTTTTTTTATAGGTTCAAGCAAAGTTGTTGTAACGGCCCTTTCATTCTTTCTCTTCAACTTTGCTTTACTTAATGTTATAATTTTCGACTCATTATAAAATATGATCGAATGTAAAATTAGATCAATAAAGTTTAAATCAATCAGTCAATGCTTGGTGCCTGAGCAACAGGGGGAGCGTGTCAGCGTGATAATCCTACCTGGGAAAGGTTCAGCTGATAAGGATAGGTAGCTAGGTAATGCCTAAGGCAACTGGCGGTCATTTGCTTACGAAAATGTTGGTAGCCTTTTTCGTCTTCCAAATAAGGTTAAATATGAATCAAGAAAAAAAACTATGCCCTGAGATTGGTTAGTTCTCAATAGTCTCGTCATTTGAAACAAAACAACGAGCACGACAGTCCTGCGTAAAACTGAAAAGAAATTACTACACATGCTACGCATTTCTAGCGTTCGTTAACACATTGAAGGTTCAACTAAAGTCTGCACAACAGGTGATAAACGTCGCTATTAGACAAAGCAAATCATCCACGTGGAACCAGTAGCTTCTAACGTGACACAATTGAACAATATGAAACATGAGAAATCAATCCTTTCACTCGTCTTTCGTGACTCGGTTAACTAAATTCTTATGGTAGAGCAATGATGCCTTTCATGGTCGTTGAGGAGACCACGAAGCACTTTTTTACTCAGCAAAAACATATTAAAAGTTCAGCTGACGGTGTATCCCAAGTCCTAACACGTGATAGTCTAGGTCAAGTGACAGCCACAGAGTTAACACACCTCTTCCGCCGGTGCCAGAATCACACTGCGGTTGCTCGAAGGCCTCGAACTAAGTTCACCTAACTCATGCCCATGCCAAGTGCTGCACCCCGCAGCTACTTCAATGCATCTTGGCGCATCTCCTCCCGTGAGCCGTCGAAGCTTCACAGAAAGATCTGATAACAATAATAAGGCTGAAGTCGGCTTTTTTTCAGGTACATGTACATGAAAGAATAGTTTTACTTCTAGTTATTTAAATAAATATTTAAGATAAGAACGGCATTGCTTCGTTCTAATTCTCAAATGGAGTATTCAAAATGGCGTAAAACATTTCAACATTAATTTTCAGGCATACATCGTGTTGAAGTTACCTTTTTCCTAATAGCTGCAGCATGAACATTTGTGCAGCTCTGCAGGACGGCTAACTATTCCTCACTTAATATTACCACTATCCATCTGATGAAGTACTAATGGTATTAGAAAGCTCGCATTTTAACAACCATATCCAAGGGATATGACTAGACATGCAGCAGGACATCGCGTATCAACATGACTCACCGTCTCGCCTGAGATGACGAACGTGCGACGCTCACTGCTGGCTGCGCTGAGTGAGTCGTCCGTTCGTCGTCACTGCCGCCGCTCGTTGGCGCCAGCAGTCAGCTTGAGTTCGCTACAAATTTTTATGCACTGGTAATGATACAATGACAAAACTGCAATACCGGTATTCGGTTCGATACATAACCATGAATTAATTTTAGTATGGGACGTTTAGTTCGATTCATTTGGACAGCGTTCATCAAACTTGCATCATCATGGCTGGTAACCACCCTTACTGTTTAAATTAATCCAATAAAGACATATCTTATCTTCTGTATCAACCTGGTAAGATAAACATGCTACTGTGACAGTTCATCACCAGCTCTGTAACCGAAAACAATAAAACTTGATTCTCACCCGTATTATAAATCGCCTCTCCCTAACCTCTATGTAGCACGACAGCTTCCGATCCAGCATTAACTACCGATCTTTACAAACTTTTAGCTCATTCCCAACTTTGAACTAAAGAAATCTGTACGCCCCGCAGGGCCTTGAGGTGTTAAAAAAGAATTATTTTTACAGTTTTGCATTTCAATTTCATTGAAGCAACACAAAACTGTAAAAATTAGAATTGAATGAAAAAAAAAAATTCTCAACTTTCACAGCTTCGGTAAATGATCATTCACCCACAATCTCATCTCGAAGATTGACGATCAAAATTTGGTTGAGCACAGTCGACCAATCGCTCCCTTACCGAGCGTTCACAGTTTTTTATAATCACCGTCAGTAAAATTTTGGAAGCTATTCGTAACAAAACCGAGTTTCTCGCCGAGTTTCTCGACGGATGATACTGCTTTGGAATTTATAATTGGTTTAAATTTTTGAAATACTTCCCAGAACCTGGGTGCTCATCTTTCATTTTCAACCCAGAGCTCTAGTCGGAAACCAGTGATTTAAGCTGCTGGTGCAGATTGTGATGATACACTCGCTCTGCTACCTACTGACCCCTGCTGAGGTTTGGTGTTCAGCCGTCAGCTCGGTGCTGCATGTGTAGAGTGGCCGCAGCAAGATGCTGCATGTGTAGAGTGGCCGCAGCAAGATGCTGCATGTGTAGAGTGGCCGCAGCAAGATGCTGCATGTGTAGAGAGTGGCTGCAACAAGATGCTGCATGTGTAGAGAGTGGCCGCAGCAATATGCTGCATGTGCAGAGTGGCCGCAGAACAATGCTGCATGTGTAGAGAGTGGTCGCATCAAATGTTGCATGTGTAGCAAAACTATCAATCCTTGCAATGTAAGGAATATGTTGGTGGCAGAGTAAAAGAGCGAACATTGTAAAATTTTCATTAGCTAAGTTATTATTATTCGCGGGGTGTAATTTTGCATTTCAGCACAATAAAGTCCCACATTGTGATGACTGCTCGAGGTAAATTGGGTTTTCTCACAAACGTTACTAGTACAGTATTGCAAAAACCGTTCGACGAGCAAGTAAATTAATTGCATTGTAAAGCCTCACATTATTAAACACATCATTGAAAATATAATAATTTTCTTCATGTGGCGAAGTTAAATCTATGAATATAGACATCATTATACGAAGTAATAAAATATTTCCGAAATGCAAGAATTGATGCATTTAATCTACCGGAAAATTCGAGGCAGCT